AGAGAGAGAGTGTTACAAAGGAAGACAGACAATAAAAGAAATCTTTGTTTTTAAACACTCACATCCCTAAAAATGACACCTGATAATAAATGCATTGTTTAATTTCATTTTGCATCATTTCAGTTTGACAGTTTTCAGTATGATAAAATTATTAACACTGTGGTTAGAATGTGACTAAGTATGTTAATCTTCAAAATTGACAAAAATTGAAATCCTATGAATTCTAGGCCCTCTGAATATTTTTGCACTGGCAGGGTTACAGGGCAATCATACTAAATTTAAGTCCTTTAATCAGAACACTCGTTCCCACTCTGCTTTTGCTCTTTCTCCTCCACTTAATCATTTTGCACATGATTTCTTTTTTTTAAAGAATAGAGTCATCAGTCATGAAAATGATCAGGAATAGATTGATTGACTCAGCAAGTTACTGTACAAAATAAGTTGATTAAAAAATGAAAACATGTATTAATATAATCCTATTACAGAAGACATGACTCACTCTCTCACAGAAGTGATGATATTCTCCAGTGCTACCAAACCGAACTTGGGCAAGGTTTTATTCCTGCTGTGCTTCTCTCAATGTATAATGAGTTAAGGTCTGTCCTGAACCTGCAGGCCCTATTAGCTGCAACCAAAGTACCACAGAATACGTACCATGCAGTTCCTCCTTAGGAATTTTCAAAGATGAGCTTGGTTCTGTACATGACATTTTTTGTATGGTATTTCCATCTCAGCATAGATTCACTCGGGACAATGCCACAAAGAGAAATTGTCAAGCCTTATGGTGAAAAAGAGAAAAACAGGATTTGAGAAGGGTGTTTCACTTGTCTTGTGGCAGGGCTTTATCTGAAATGCAAGATCAGTGTTGACCAGAGGAAACAAGGGTAGAATGTTAGCAAAGTAGCACTCCCTCCAAAGAAGCAGCATTATGACAACCTAGAGGGCTATTGAATGTGGGAACATCTATACTTGGATGTGGCATGGAGAGTTTGAACCATGGCCCGATCAGTGGATCCATGCAAAATTATCACTTCCTGCAGTCTGGCCTTTGCCATTTTGCTAATAACCATCCTCTTCTAGTCTCCATATTTATGTTAGGTTGCTAACATCAGTGTACTGTAAAATTTAGTTTTATTAGTGAGCATACCAAGATCATGTATGAGGCATTGTTTAGAGTGCTTCTGTAAAAAAGAGAGCATCAAGTCTCAGGTGAATACATGTGGGACTAAGGAATGTACTGTACAGTGTGATGTGAACATTACAACAACGGTGTGTTTTATGTGTTTGCTTGCTGCACACATTAGCATCATTTAAATTGAAGTAGATTTGTATACAGTATGTTCATAAATTGTTTTTAAAAAAACATAATGTAGCACTTTCTGGTTCACTTGGGTATGCGCCCTCGCTGCTGCCACCTCAGGTCAGCCCCCCACCACTGGGGACTCAAACCCTGGCCTCTGGTGTCACTTAACAGGGACCAGCCAGCTGAGCTAAAGGGAGATCTCTCCTCAGCCCGGTGGCTGCGGTCACAGGGAAGGGCGGTGACGTCACTGCACTGGTAAGCCGGCTTGCACAACCTGTAATGTCGGCCGTATGTGTTACAATAATAATCCCTTATGTATGAGGTTGATTGATATCTTTGTCATTTTCCTTACCTTTTAGATGAATACAGTAAAGTAAAGGGAAATTCCTCAGTACGTTTCAGCTCCGTTTAATACTACTGTAAATGTCCATCCTGTCAAAAGTGTGATGGAGCAACTTCATGCTCAATCACCAGCACTTCACCCTTAAAATACAAAAATGCATCTATACAGTTTTAAATACTTATTTTAAAGTGAATGAAATTTTAACTGATGTGATATCAGTAAAAACTGATGTTTTTTTTATTTTTTTCAGTTTTCTAGAGTTTTGTGTTGAGTATGTCTTGACAATTTAGTTTGTGATGTGCTCAATTGTGGACATTTGCAGTTTTGCAAAAGGTGTACAAATCATGTGAAAATCATGTGGCAACATGTTCAACTAAAAGGTTAAAATAGCTGACCATCTTAGTAACATCTAGGTTATATTTTTAGAAAACGAAATGCTTACCATGTGAACCGTTTTAAAAGGTTTGCTTGTTTGTCCTATATTTCCTTGCTCCTGGATCATACAGAAATATGTGAGTTAACTTACTGGGATGAGCCTGTTGTTAATGTTTATATAGGAATTTACATTTAAGTTTCATCAGTGATACTGTTGGCACCACATTTATCCATCCTGTATTGATCTGCCTATTACATTTTCCTCTCATCCATATTATTGATCAGTTTTATAGTTTTCTGTATAATTGCAAAATCAGAATACCAGCTGTGTCTACCTTTCTTAGAAAGTCCAAGGATCACATGTTCCAACAGTACATTTCTTTGTATGCAGGATGTTGTAGAAAGGTACAACGATAAGAGAACTGTTACATTTCTGTGCCGCGTTTTTCAGTTACTTTTTTTCTAGATTGCCATGAAATTGAAAATCTCTTCATATTTTAATTGAATTTTTTTTTAAAAAATTGTATTCTTACACAATTGTGAATGTCTGGGTGATCGTTGGATCAATTAGCTACTAGTAATCATAGATGGGTTAAGTGGCCTCCTTTTGTTTGGAACATTTCTGATGTTGTAATTTAAAATGTGATATTTGAGCAAAATTCCAACACACTGTAGATCACTGTAAGGGATTTTTTTTTAATTACAGAGTTATCAATTCATTTTTAAAATTTCTTTGCCCACAATTTTTGTTAGTTTTTAAAAAGTAATCTCTTACATAATTAATTTGTATTGGTAATGGATTTATTTTTAAAGTCACTTTCACCAGCACTGATTATAAAATCAGTTATAATACATCCATATTCTGACTTGTTTCTTCCAATTCAGGTTTGTGGGTGAGTGGAGTCTATCCCAGCAAGCAGTGGGCACAAGGCAGGGTACTCTCTTAATGGGGATCCAGTTCATTGCAGGGCAGATAGACACAAACACAAATATTCACACACACCTAAGGACAATTGTCCCAAAATCCAGATTACCTACCAATATGTTTTTGGACACAACCTTGGGGTGAACCTACAAAATTCACAAAGATAGCCCCAAGAGGAAACCCACCTAAACATAGGGAGAACATTCAAACTCCATACAGGTAGCACCCAGGTCCAGAATTGAAACCCACATGCTTAAAATATATATTTTTTTCTGAAGTATTAAGTATATTTTTAATCCAATCAGTCTGATATACCCTGGGCTTTGAAACTATGTTAAAGCTATGTTCATTAAAACACATTTACAATAGTTAACAATAGTACAAAGTATTAACTATCTTTATCTTAATCTGTATTAATGGGAATGGCATTAACTTGTCATTTTTTACAAATACTAAAATTAATCGCACATGATAAGAGAGCTGTTACATTGCTGTGACCTGTTTAAGATGCCATTAGAAATGTTACATCAAAATTAACTAGCAATAAAACAAAATATGGATTCATTAATCTGTATTAAGCAGAGAAATGCACTGCACAGAATGCTGTGGTACTTATTGAACTTGAATTGTCAAATCAAAGGAAGTTAAACCTCAAATCGGTCCATTTTTCAATTCAGGAGTTCAGTATTTCGTGTGCCCTCCATTTGTTACCAGAAATGTTTGCATGCGACAATGGCATCAACATTTAAAAAGCACTTACTTCTCTGTGGGAAATCATTTTCCTCTCAGCAAGAAGCACTGCACACAGCTCGACAAGTGTACATGGTTGTACACGGTTGTGGATCCAGACAACACTCTACACTGTACAACAAACGAGATATTGTCAATCATAGCACAACAAGTCTGGTAACTCTGGACATTGTCATTCTTGGCCTCTGCATCCTCATTCCTTCTTAATTGTGGCTGTCATGGCATTTTGGTTGATAATTTCCCTGGCTTTTCTGAAATTAGTCACAGGTGCAAAATTGCCACAGTCATATCCATATAATCTACAAACTATTCTACCATATATGGTGTTTTACAAATGGAAGTGTCTACGATTATTTTCTCATAGTTGGTTCATTGACTGTCATGTGTATTAAATTAATTGTATTTATTATTTGTGAATATATACTACTGGTACATATCTTGTAATACTAGAACCAAAATATTGTTGTATTTTGAGTGTTTCTTAGTATATTATATCCACCCTATGCTTGTTGTTTAATAATTAAAAACTGCATACTGTTTACAGTATTTCACTCTTATGTTATATATGTGTTAATTTTAGCAATTAATTAATTAGTTATATCTTCTGTTGCTCAGTATATGTTCAATTAGATTTCACACAGAGAACTTTTATCAAGTACAGTTTAAGTTTAAGCTTTATATATCCTCCATTCATTAGCAAGAACCAGCAAATTAAAATAATCCTGAATATTGCCAAAGAAAGCCTTAAAGCCAGTCACATTATCATGAACCACATGTAAGAAGCTTATAATGCTGAAGTCAGATGATTTGTTAAAGGGAACTCCCTCCATACACACAACAGATCCGCACACACTGTATCACATAGTTTCCTAAAAATTCATATAATAATTTCGAAGATCTATAATGGAGGACTAATCTTTGTATAAACATTAAAATTAATATTTTTTGTACTTATGTTTTGCTTCCCCAACCTCTTAAATTAAACACCATTGCATGGCTTTCTACATTTCATGCAATGATTCAGCTTTTGCATTCTGTAATTGTATGGTATGATGTTTTAGGGTCAGGCAGTAGCTGATGTGCTACTAAATAGTTCATTAGATTTGTGGTGCATGGCTCCAGCCCTAGTGGATTGGTGTCCTGCAGTCTTTATAATTATCTTCAAATTGTTAACACCTCATTACCTGGAAAAGGGTTAAATCGGACCAATTAAACAGAGATAGTAATTAATAAAATTAGTTAAAAACTCAGGTAGAACAAAAAAAGAGGGCCTATGAAGGTTCTGCTCCATAACTTTGGCTTTGCTGGAGTGGCTATGTTGACATCTTGAGGTTTTAGACTGAATTGCATATTAGACATTCATTGGGGCCTTGCATATTTTTTAGATTTAATTTATACTAAAATAAAAATGAACAGCTCAGTGTGGAAGTGTTGTAACTTGATGAAGAACTTGAGAGTTGATGTCCTACTTAAATAGTTAATAATTCTGTGACTTCTTTAAAGTACGAAATACAGATAATAACTTAAGTATATGTTAAGTCTAATTGATCTTCAGAAATCATGAATATAAGCATTTCTGTTTCTTCACAGCATTTTACACAGTAAAATGGATTATGACTTTCATGTATTTTTAGTTATTTATTTTTCATGTTTGTTCTTTCAAAAATTGTGAGTCACAGTTTTCATTTATATAACCACAGTTAACAAATAATCATTTTCCACTGAAATATGTTTGGAACTAATTAGCTGACTTAATTTATTTCTGTTTTAGGCAAAAATGCAATTGTTGACTTTTACATGTCAAGACTAAATTGCCATTGATTTGAAAATTTAAAAAACATATCTTAACAATGTATAGTATACAGCATATTTAATTGCCTCATTTTACAGTCAATTAAAGTATGAAAAATGACTCTGCACAAAGGTGGGAGGTAACTTGAGAGTATGGAGTTATGGAGTATGGAGTGTCAGATTATGGGTTGCAAAGGAACAAACACAGGTTAAGTCCATGTTAAAAAAGAACAATAAAAGCGTAAAATATAGAATGCATTGGCTGTGGAGTCTTCCTCAGGTACTGTATGAGGAAGCTTCTGAAAAGACCCAAGGAAGGAGTATTTCACTTTGCCTCTTTAGTTTTCCAGCATTTAGTTTTAGATTGTTTCATTTTCAATACATTGATACCTATGACCTCTGAGAACAGTATTCTTATTTACTTGTGTGGAAGTTTAGGTACTTTTAAACAAAACTAATAGAACAAAAATACACTCCTATAACTGCTTTTCTTAAAACTTCGTCACATAAAACTCCAGCTAAAATAAGTAGGTACCCCATTACTCAATATAAAATCGTTTGATAGTGATACCATTCAAGTGGTGTGTTACCACAGAACCATACCAATTGAATGATATGAATATTGGTATTTTCAAGACTTTTCATATTTGTTTTTGTATCCAGATGGTAAATTATTGGAAACATGCTAAAAATTAGAGTGTGGTCAATGAATATCAGAAACAGTCAACAAACGGAATATAGATGAAGAAATCACCCAAATATGTAGTCATAGCAACACTTGATATTTATTGCTCTATGTCTGTTTTTATATGAAGTGCCTATGGCTCAATGGCAAGGAAAAGAAGTGCCCAGGAAGCAGTGTGTGGAGCCCCGGTTAACAAGAGGAAGTCTCTTCTGATGAAACCCCGCCACTACAGCCCCAGCAATGACTGTGATGAGGAGACTGAGGACCTGGCAGAAATAGAGGACAAAGACGAGCTGAGGAGCATTGACACTCCAGCAGGTAGACAGATGTCCTGTTGTTTTTGTCTGTTTTGATGAACAATTGACGCTGAATTTTTAAATACCATCTGTTGCATTCATCTTTTTCTCATTCTACACTCATTGTTTGCTGAAAGTGCAATAATGTACTGCTGGGTATTCATTGGTCATTTGTTACATCCTCATATTTTCCTAGTATTTCTTGACAGTCAATCTGCCAACCCCCTGTTGAAGTAAGCACATTCTTTGTATTTTTTTGTATTTATTTGTTTGTTTTGCTGCCTAATTTTGTTTTTCATCTTTGTGGAAGGATCCTTACAAAGCTGTTTTAATGCATCTGAAGATTAATTATTTAGAATTTTTAATGTTTTTCTTTAAAACAGCAGTGGACTCCATTTACATTTTACCTTTAAATTTAGACCATCTGATATCTTAATTTATAAAAGGTTCTAAAACAAACTATACCACAATATAAGAAAACATCCTTAAAATTTAATAAAAATTGCAAGTAAACATATATTTAGTACTAAGAATAAACAACTGATATTTTAATGAGATACTAGCTCAGACTTTAATCCTGAACCTGAGATTTGTATACCATCCTTTTCAAGTAATTTGTGTGTGTGCCAATAATTGAAACTTTCCTCCAAAAATACATTCATACATCATTTTCAGGATTTTCTGACAATATGTTCTTTCTTTCTACTTTCATATGAATATTCAAACTTTTAAAAATAAAAAAAATAGAAATCAAGAAAAATCAAATGTAAAGAGAAACGAAAGAAATAAAGAAATGTAAATCAGCAGTAAAAGAAGGGATGCTGGTAGGCTTTGCTAGAGTTTTCTCTAAATATCTCTTCAGAATGGACACAACAAAATTGTCTTTGTCCCATTTTTAGAATATGGTCTGTACACAATGCAATCATTGTATTCTCTTTGGGGAAAAAAAGCACACAAAATAAGCTAGACCAAGGAAAAAGACCATTGAAAACAACAGGAGGGCTACAAGTCATAGAAGTGTTCAAATACTATTATTAAATGATGAATATAATACATTGGAACATAATAATATAATAGTAAAAATGTATATATATACTGTACAATATGTTTCAGTAGTTCAGTCAAACACTAAGATGGAGAAGAGGCACTATTCAAAAAGAAAGCTTTATAGGAGTAACTGACCTGCCTGAGGAGAATGGCATTCTGTTATTAAGGGGTGCTGGAACCCCACCCCTTTAATGATAAATGAACCAGGATTCTGCTTCAAGGGCGACAATAAAGAGGATGCAAAACAAAACATGCAAAGGAGTAAGAAAAAAAGCATAATATTTAAACATACTGTAGGCATATTGTAGTGCAAATGGGCATCAGAGCTTGACCTTCTCATGAACTTTTGTTTAAAAGTCCATGTATCAAATGATATCAATTTGATTTTGTTTCATAAGCACATACAGAAAGAAGTTTAGTTGTTACTTCTTTGTTAAATCAAGCTCACATATACTATATTCTAATGACAGAGAAGTATGTTTTAATGAATAAATTATTTAAATTCAATACTCATTCAACCAAGTATTGTTAGAAAGCTACATTCCTGTGGTGTTTTTTAGTCATAGGAATTTATACAGTAGATCTAAACCGTTAATGTTATTGTATGGAAAATGATTGAATGGAAATGGACTGTGAGTTTTTTTTTCTGCCTCTGGTAAAGTACAATAACCAGAGAAGTTCTCCCTCCTCAGTGCAAGTTGAAAAACTTACTGCAAACTAATTGAAAATACTCAGAGGGTTCCCCTTCAATGAATAATATATCGGCCAGACACACAGCAGCTTTCGTATCTTATGGAATGTTTTTATATATCAGACTAATAACAAAAAAAGCTATTTTTTAAGAGTGCAATGTATTCCCTTAAGGATAGAAGATAAATATTCTATTTAAAATAGTCTGTTTTGTCAGGGTAAAGTGGTCATGAAACAAACTATGAACACCATTTTGGCGACAATACAGTAAAATGCCTTCCATGAAGGATGATTAATATTTTATTTAAAAGCACTGTCCTTACTAGAGACAAAACAGTGTGAGCTTGTAATGAACTGAATTATGAACAACATTTTGGCAACAATACATGTGGTTTACATGTGCATTTTAGTCCCCTATAATCTGCACTTAATAGGTATATTTTAAACTATGTAACCAAGCAACAGACGTAATTGTTGCTTTCGAGAGCTTTTGTTAGGCCCTCTAACACAGTCCAAATATGCATAATTAGGCATAATGTCTACAACTCATTATTGTACACATGTGGGTAGTTAAGTGGACCAGGAGAATAGCTCAATGAATTGAGCAGATTCATTGGAAATGGCATTTATTTGTTTCCTGAGTTCATATTACATTACAATTATCATAACCCTTTTTGCACTCCCCTAACCATCAGTGGCGTTATTCTGAAAACTTAATTTATATTTTTTTCCTAGTCCTGTTTATATCTGAAGAGATGTCTTTGGACTGGTGTTAACAAAATGACAAGATCTCGTTAAGATCGCTGCATGTTTAAAAAGGGATGTCTGTATATGAAAATCAAATGACAGCTAGAGTGAAAAAAGCCATAAGAATCAGTGCCTGTGGGATGCTGTGAATATCTGCATTTCATAACAGGAAAAAAAGCCTCCCATTTGGTCATGCAGTACTGCAGTAGATGTGAGCCAAGCTTCTGCTCTGCTGCAGAGCTCCGGTAATGGCTATTCTGGAGTACAAACCAATCACCTGTTCCAATATAGAAACCACAGTAGGGATCCAAGAAATTTTTTTCAGTTTTTTTTGTAAAGGCTGTGCATCCATCTGGATGAAAAACAAGTGCTCACTGCCTGTTCTGCTAATTGTAACTAAGCATAACTGACTAACTTTTAATCTATTTGTTGGATGGGCTCACTGATTTTTTTTAAATCTATTTAGATTAAAATGTCTCCCTACACAGTAAGGCAGGAAGGTTATTATCAGACTGCTGCACACCTCACAAATCCAGTTTGGTCTGGATACTGCAAAGCCTTAATTGTAATTAATGAACTACTGTTGTATTTTATAAAGAAGATATAGGAGATCATTTGAAGCTAGAAGAACATTTGACCAAAAATACCAATATATTCTCAATCCTTCATGGCAAAGAATGTTTCAGTGCTTGACAGTCAGCAAATCCTTAAAACAATGAGAAGGATTTGCTTGTGTGTTTATTGGAATCGTAATACATCGAATACTTTCTAATTTTACTTTGTTTCTTTTTTGTGCACTAAAGTGTAATCAAAAGACATTTTAAATGTGTATACATATAAAAAATGTGCATTTGCATGCATGCTTTATATATGATAATGGTGAGATTACTGTTTTCACAATGCAATCTCAGAATATGGATCTACTTATAACAGTGCCCTTCGGTTCATGACACTCAAGATGTTATTCTGAGGAAAAGATCATATTTCTTCTGAATTATCATTGTTGATTAGTTACTTATACTAGCCCTGCTGGTTTTGTAATGCAAGATTTTGAGACATGTTTTAACTTTTAAATCATACAATATATTCCTATAGTATTTACAGATGATGTTTGTTTATAGAGATCAATGTGTGCCTGTTAATATCAGTACTGCAAAAGAGTTTGCCTGCTGTGTGTATTTGACTGATTCTCAAATAATCAACATATCATATCTTCTTCAAGTCTTCTCTAATAGTCTTAGTCTGGGTTATATTTAAATTGTTCTCTAACTCCTCGTAATGTTGGAGGATAGATCAGCCATCTACTTTATATAGCTTTTGCTAAACCCTTATACCCAAAGAGACTTATCAGCAAGTTAGTTTTAATGATTTGACGGATTAAAAGAGATTTTCTTGAATCAATCCAGATGATAGCTTACCATTCTTGATCATTAACTGCAGATGCATGTAATCTGGTATATTTTCATTTTTAGTGTCATTTAAAAGAGCTTTGTGCAGCTAAATAGAGTCTTAACAGATATCTTTATAGAACTGATCTATTATTGCATAAAAAGAACATTGTAAAACCTAAATCATAGCAGTCTGTATTACCTCATTTGCAATAATGTTTTATTTTATAATAGTCTACAGTAAAAAATGTCTAATTATACAGCTAATCACATTTAACTATTTCAAAGTCTGACAAGTCCTTTTCATAATATATTACAAGGAGGGTACTAAGTTTACTTATACTTGATCCTTTACACTTACAGTATGTAGATTGTACATGTAGAGCCAGAAGTTATTCATGATATGCTTATTTAAATCTTCGATAGTTTTAGGAGATTTTCTCTGAGAAAAGAAGATGCATTGTAGGACAGTGGTGTAATTATGTACAGTATTAAATAAAATAATGAAAAATAAGAGTAATTAATTACAAAATATTAGTCTACAGGACTATCATCTTGTTACTCCAGATTTATAACATTAATTTGTCAGTAATGTATTAATATTGTATATGGTTAATATACTATTTATACCATATAATTAGAACAGACATATATTTTATAGTGTGTTTATTACTTACACAGCTGAATATCAGAATATTGTGAAGCTCCTTGGCTATTTTAATTTTTAAGGATGTTTCTTTGATAAGTCCATCAAATTTCATATATAATAATAATGGTAACATGCCTTGTACTGGATTTCTTACAGTTAGTTTTTTTATTACATTAAAATAGCAACAACTGTAAATTTCATAGGAAAGCATAATATTTCATTAAAAATATTTTAAATATATTTCTAAATATATGTTTTAATTTATGAAATGCCAATGTGTTAAAAGATCGCACAGTTATTTCTGTAAATTGCCCACTTGGAAAGATTTTTCAACATGGTAATGATTCTAGTTATGCTGCAAATGTAGTTAACATTGCTTTCTAACAAACTAAGACCTTATATAAATATTCTACCATAAACAGTACATCCAGTTCTGTAAACTGTGTGCTAATAGCAATAGTAAACACATTTTGTAAGACACTAAACTAGTGCATGTTGAAG